GGGGATGAATAAGTGGCTGGGGCCATAGAAAATAGAACAAACCAAAATTTGAGTTAATTATTAACTCCAGGGGCAATGAACAATTGTACAAGAAAGGTTTCTTATATGGTTCAGCTATGAACAAGATTTATATGGGCATATTAATATAAAGATGAATATATAATATAATCATGTTGGGAATGAGCGGAGGGAAATGGTGTGTGAATAGAGGGCATAAAAGGCAGAATTCCTCATCGTCCATAGTAAGAAATCAATAGATAATGTATAAAATGGAAAAATCAAGAAAAGCAGTAAAAACCTATTCTTTGAAAATATAGAGGTAAACATGAAAAAATTGCTAAAATAATTGAAGGCAGTGTCTCTGAGGAATGGGAAGCAGAGATGGTAGGGAAAAGCAGTGGATGTGGTCTTTTTTGTTTTGTTTTGTTTTGTTGAGACAGGATCTCACTCTCTCACCCAGGCTACAGTGCCGTAGTGGGATCACATCTCACTGCGGCAGCCTCAAACTCCTGGGCTCAAGCAATCCTTCTGCCTCAGCCTCCTGAGTAGCTGGAACTACAGGAGGGTGACCACCATGCCTGGTTTATTTGTTTATTTGTTTATTTATTTATTGTATTTTTTTTGTAGAGACAGGGTCTCACTATGCTGCCCGGGATGGTCTGGAACTCCTGGGCTGAAGTGATCCTCCTTCCTTGGCTTCCCAAAATGCTACAATTACAGGTGAGCCACCTCTTCTGGCCAATGTGTTTTTTTATAAATAGGGTTTGTCAGGGACATTCTCAGTTTTTCCTCCCTAGTCTGGCATAATTTAATTACCATTGCCTCTTTTACTCCCAAAGTTTTCCCAGTTTTGTATGTAGCCCTGAAATGCTACTTCATTTTTTAAACTGTGTATGCATGATATTTTGATAACAGTGAAATAAAAAGAGAAAGCTCTTTGGACCTTAAATAAAATAACTCTCGTTCATCAAGCTCAAAGACTTTAATTTTCTTTTTTCCAAAAACTAATTCTTGGGTTTTTTTTTTTCCAATTTTTACCCTCTGTACATTAGAATGTATTCAAAAACTAATTCTTGATTTTAAATTAATTACAAGCAATGTGTACTTCGAAGCACTTTTACAATCACTCACTCATTTAATCCTTACAATAGCTTCATAGGGTAAGCATCCTATTCCATTTTATAGATGATAAAAAGGAGGGGCCGGGCACAGTGGCTCATGCCTGTAATCCCAGCACTTTGGGAGGCCGAGGCAGGCAGGTCACGAGGTCAGGAGATCGAAACCATGCTGGCCAACACGGTGAAACCCCATCTCTACTAAAATACAAAAAAAATTAGCTGGGCGTGGTGGCGTGTGCTTGTAGTCCCAGCTACCCAGGAGGCTGAGGCAGGGGAATCGCTTGAACCCAGGAGGCGGAGGTTGCAGTGAACTGAGATTGCACTACTGCACTCCAGCCTGGCAACAGAACAAAACTCTCAAAAAAAAAAAAATGAGGTTAAGGAGGTCTTCTGATTGCCTACCGAGGTGACACTAGTCCACTGGGCTAGGCCCTCTAATTATAGTATGCACACTCTTGCCACAATATCAAATGATAAGGCATTTAAGCCATCCCACAAATGAACAGAATCTGAGCTATAAAACCAATAACCCAGATTAATAGCCTATTAGAAAAACAGATTATGAAAATGAATAATTCAAACATTCTTCTGTTTTTGAAAATAAATTCTAATTAGTCTGCCTAGCTAGGCTTAGTGGAAACTGAAATCAATCTCATGGGAAGACAGCCCACACCTCCAACCCCTGTCATCTTTGGAGTCCCAGAGGATGAATCACTGCTGCTAAACCTCCGGACCAGGAAAACAGTCCTAGTGGTTTTTTTGGTTTGTTTGTTTGTTTGTTTTTAGATTACAAAGTAATACATGATTATTTCCGAAAATATAAGAAAATAGAGATATAGGATAAAAGAAAAAATATTCTAAACCCCATCACTTAGAGGCAAATACACCTAACAATTTAGTGTATACATCTCTGTCTTTTTGTAATACAAATACAAAAATAGGATCATATGATGCAAACTTCTCAGTTACCTGCTTTTTTTTCCCCAAACACTATATTTTGGACATGGTTCCATGTCCATAACCATGTGTCTACGTTTTTCTTTTTAGTGGCTGCCTCACGGTTCATCATTTGAATTACTGTATTTGATCAATCCTCTGTCACTAGATATTTGGGTTCTTCCTTTTTTCTTTCCAGCATTAACTCTGCAACGACCACGAAATTCTATACACACATCTTTGTGCCCATGTCCAGTTATTCCTCAGGATAAATTTCACGAAGACAGATTACCATGCCAAAGAGCTTGTATTTTACAGGGGGCTTCTAACCCACATTGTATACCCCACCAACATAGAATGTGCTTGTCCATACTCTCATATTCAGATGACTCAATGTGTTCTCTTATCAATGCTTTTATCCCTCCTGTGGGTTAAACCATGAACTAAACAAAGCAAGGGGGTTGGGATGGGAGGCAGTTGAAACAAACAAGAAATTTCAAAAGAGTTCCCTAATTCCTTCTTTCTAGTCCCTCCCACACTCTAATGCTAATTTTTTTTTTCCAATTTGGAACTCTGGCCTCACTGGTTCCACCCTCAGCTCACACACCAACTTTCCCTGCCCATCCCTCTTCTGTATTTTTGAGATTGGGTCAGTCTCTCCTCACTAGCGAGTACTGACCATTCCTTTGAGGTGATGGACATCATCTTAAGTGTCAAGGTTTGGACAACAGTATCATCACAGGGTCACAGTGACATGCCCAAGAATTCTGAAATTCCAGAACCAGAGTCTCCCACACCGATCTGCCAGCCATTAGAACAAAGCCACATGGAAGCTAAAGACACAGGGGCAGTGTCCAGTCCCTGGCTGGACATTCCTACACCCCCTTCTCCGATTCTCAATGCTCCCCGGGCCCAGCCCCTTCCAACTCCTCCCCCACCAGCCCGGCACTGAAACGCCCTTGTTCACTTTATTTTAAATGGGCACCATTCGGAGGCTACATTCTCACAGTCCATTCTTTGCTTCTCGTTCCTCACTTGCTCCATGACCCGGGATCATATCCCTTTCTTTCTAAAACTGTCATCCCTAGTTTCGGATAGTTGATAGTTTTGCACAAATAGTCACATTTCCCAGTAATTCCTGCTTTTTGTTTGTTTGTTTGTTTTCCTTCCTTATCAAAAGCGGCTGGTCAAAGACAACCTGGTTCAATTTATGAACCCAACTCCTTCCTCCCTCAAGACTGACAGAGATTGAGGTAAAGAGTACGTTCAGCCCTGTTAAATTTATAAGCACAGAATCGGGTATCGCATGCTTGTCCATGTGACTATTTATTTTTATTTTATTTATTTATTTATTTCTGAAATGGAGTCTTGCTTTGTTACCCAGGCTGGATGTGGTGCAGTGGTAGGATCTCGGCTCACTGCAAGCTCCGCCTCCCGGGTTCACGCCATTCTGCTGCCTCAGCCTCCCGAGTAGCTGGGACTACAGGCGTCCGCCACCACGCCCGGCTAATTTTTTTTTTTTTTTTTTTTTTTTTTTTTTTTTTTTTTTGTATTTTTAGTAGAGACGGGGTTTCACCGTGTTAGCCAGGATCATCTCGAACTCCTGACCTCGTGATCTGCCCGCCTCGGCCTCCAAAAGTGCTGGGATTACAGGAGTAAGCCACCGCGCCCGGCCCATGTACAAAATAAAGCACCCAGAACTTTGCACCTGGACGTATCAACATTCAACAACCTTTGTCCTAGGAACTCAGGGAGTTCACACCAGGCTTTTAACACCCCTGAGACTGAAGGAGGGAAAAGGCTATAACTGGCAGCGACAACTGGGCCTAGGATAACGCTAACTCCAGTTTTGGCCAAACCTCCTCCAACACACATGTGCAAAGCCATATTCTCATGAAGAGGGGGCAAAACATTTGCTTTCTGGGTTTAACCTTCTACCATCTCAAACCAACTGTGCCAAAAATTTCGCTGTTCACCAGGATTCATCAAAAAACGTATATTTCTATTTTTATCGATTTTAAGAGAATAATTAACTGCTCTATTTTTACAGAAAATACACAAAGTGATACAGTCCAAAGACTAATACTCAGACGAAATCAATTGCTAAACATTGGCGGGGCAAAAGAGGAGACCACGCAACAAAAGCACGGACAGGCAACTTTCGGCACCGCGGGAAGGCCCCGACCAGGCTGGGGCTCCGCCTCTCCTCCCACTCTTTGCTCGGTTGTCCAGGAGCCCCGCGGCTCCCCGAATTCCCCGCCCTCCGCCCCTGCGGGCCTGCCCTGCAGGCCCCGCCCCAGCCCCGCCTCGTCCCGACGTCAGTTGTTGTGTCTCAGCTCCGGCCGCGGCCGTCCCTGATCTACGGCTGTGGAGGCTACGGCCGCGGCCTCCGGAGGTGGCGGGGGTGCTGGGGACCCGTGCCGCGACCGGCGCCGCCCATCCGAGCGGGGCAGGCGCTGAGTGGCCGGGAGGCAGCCGGGTAGCCGCCTGGAGGAGCAGTCTCAGGGCCTGTTACTGGTTTTTTCCCACCGAGACCGATTCCCTCTGCAGGGACCGCGACGCCCCATCCTGGGCCGGGCCGCGGTGCCCGCCTGCCTGAGAGGCGCCGCCCGCCAGCCGGCCCGAGCTAACGTGGAGCCGCCGCCGTGCCCGCCGTGCTTCTCGCGGATCCTGGGCGGTCGGCGGGGCCTGGGGCCTGGGCTTCGGGCGCGGCGCTGCGGCGGTCGCTCCTCCCCGCGCAGGACACGCTGGGCCCCAGGCCTGGCCCGGCCGAGCGCCGCGCCCTCCTGACCCGCGGCCGCGGGAGTCCGGCCCCCACGGCCCCTCGGGCCCGGGCCTGCCGCCCGGATCCCCGGCTCCTGGCGAATCTGAGTTATTTTTTGGTCTCTCCCCCTCCCCCTTGAGATCGCGGCGCCGGAGGGCCGACCCCGCCACCTGGGTCAGTGTCCCCCGCAGAGGGAAGCGTCCCTCGTTTTCTTCCCGTGAGCTCTCCCCGCGCCCCTCGCCTCTCGGTGCTTAATGGATGGCGGTTGTGAGTTTTTCCCATTTATTTTTGTCGCCTCTTGACTGGGAGGCCCGGCGCGAGGCTCTGCGCCTCTGCGTCCCTCGTCGCCACCTCACGCCCGCGCAGATCCCGTCACCTGCCTCCCCGTCGCGGATGGCCGGCCAGTGACGGCGCCGGGTGGCCCGCGCGTGGACACGGGGCCCTCGCCCAAGCTGCCACCGAGCCGCGGCCTCCGCCCTCGACCCTTCTCTCTCCCGTATTCCGAGCTCTCTGGAAAGAGAGAAGACGCCAGGGAAGATGTGGCTGAAGCTTTTTTTCTTGCTCCTCTATTTCCTGGTCCTGTTCGTCCTGGCCAGGTTTTTTGAAGCCATTGTGTGGTATGAAACTGGCATCTTTGCCACCCAGCTGGTGGATCCAGTGGCGCTGAGCTTCAAGAAGCTGAAGACCATTTTGGAGTGCCGAGGGTTGGGCTACTCAGGGCTGCCTGAGAAGAAGGATGTCCGGGAGCTGGTGGAAAAGTCAGGCGAGTATCGAGCTTCCCCTAGGGCCCCCTCCACCTGGGAGAGGGGACGACCTGTACCTCCTGGTACCTGGCTGTTCCCCCAGAGTGAGGCCTTCCCTGGAAGGGTTAAAGCTGCCCAGGTTGCTTCGTCCAAGCTTTCTACAATCAAGTATGCGGATCCCAGCTTTGAGGAGGAGGCTGAAATTACTTGGAGGGGTGTTGGTGTATCCTTTTAAGGTTGTCGTAAAATGACAGTTTAAAGTGTGGCTTCTTAGCGTTGTTTACTAAGTTGAGTGATTTTCTCAAAATTCGGGAATATGAACTAGTTACAAACTGGAAAGCATTATTTGTCAGTTGAAGTTCATAAAAACGTAAGAAAAACTCCAAAACGTTGTCTGTCAATAGTAGTATTTGTCACGATAGTAATAATAAGGTACCCAGAGTGGGGACCCATCTTTGGAATACTTACTATCAGAGGCACTTGGGCCTAGGATTTGAATGTTAGTTAAATCATGAGTTTGAATATAGACAGTGTACACCGACTTTAAGTCTGAAAAGGCGAGTAAGTCTGAGTAAGATGAGCATTTTGTATAAATGCTTGCCATGTTCTAGTTTATATTATATTTCTGTTAGGATTTTTTTAAATTTGCATCTTGGATGTAAGAAAAAGTTTTTTTTTGTCTTCTGTGTCACAGGCACATTGTTTAATGGGTTGAGAAATATAAGTGAAATAGTCCTGAGAGAATATTCAATGTCTTAAATAATGTGTTTTTCGTAATTGTTGGTTTTGGTAGGATTGGGTGACAAATATGATTACTTTTTTTCACTGCTGGACAAAGTATACCTTTGTTTGGATATACTTCCTGAAAGTGGAATGTAATTTGAGAAAGGCTTTCTGCGTTGCTGTAGGGAGCAGCTGAAACTGATGGTTATCTTTTTTGTTGTTTCAAGTATTTCTGTCAGCTGTCTTTTACAAGACAAATCTTTTCCTTCTTTAGTACCCTATAGACATGTAGCGTGATAGACAAGAATATGAACTAGCTAGCAGTTTAACACTTGGATATTTGTAGGTTGTGGGTTATAAAACTCGTATCTCACTGTTAGGATAGAGGAGAGGAACCCACTCTGCAAAAGTGATAAATATTTCGTTAGAGAAAATATAAAATCGTGTATTATTCTTGCCCCTTGTTTGCTGGCTGGTTTATGGTGATTCTTATTTTTACCATAGGGGGAAGAAGTGGAGTAACTAGGGTAAAAGATCTCTACTAAATAAACTCTCTTGGTTTAGAGATGAGAAGTGTCTTAATTACTAAAGCCATCATTTTTTATGGAAAATAATTTGATCACACATTTTTTCTTTTGACAGTTATTTATTATTGCCTTCTTTCGGGACTAAAAATACTTGGCACATTGAATGTATTAGGTGTCCACATATAACTTTAAGACGCACAGCCCAATATGACTCAAATCACATTTTATGGCAGAAAAGTCATGGTATAGCGGTTTAAAAATTTAAGTGTTTATTGTGAATGGTTTTGCTGCTATCATGGTGCAGTGCTTGGTTTCTCACTGTTTAATATTTAAGGCAAAAGTTAAAATAATTTGACTTTAGTGTTTTCCTTTCCTTTTTGTTTAATGATACAAGCTCTAAATTTACACTGTAAATTTGTATATGAATGTGAAGTTTGTTCTAACAGGTAAAGTTCTAACCTCCAAGTCATGCAAACCCTGTTGCTCTTTTAAGCAGGGCTGATGGCAAATTCTGTGAACCCAATTCTACATCTTTTAAGTAAGAAGCATATGAGCCATACTGTTTAAAAATGTATATGAAGCCTGTATGTGTCATACGTAAAACTAAATAATTAATAAAGTGGTGCCTTTTTGGAGTGGTACAAATTTGGTAATTTCCTAATAATTATGTGATAACCCCACTAAAATACAAGCCCTATTCTATAAGAGATAGATTTTTGTCTATTTTGTTCGCTTTTGCCTGACACGTAGGAAGTTCTTACTACATACTTATTGAATGTATGACACCTAAGTGGGTATATTCAGGTTCTACTAGTAGCTCTTGTCTATAGAATACAATGAAAGTACAATATCATGATTCTTAACAGTCTAAAAAATGGATTTACTGAAATTGGGAATCTAGGATTCTTGCAACCTTATTAGTGTTACTCTTTTCCTTTCTTTAGGTGACTTGATGGAGGGTGAGCTCTATTCTGCTCTCAAGGAAGAAGCATCGGAATCGGTTTCTAGTACCAATTTCAGTGGTGAAATGCACTTCTATGAGCTTGTGGAAGACACAAAAGATGGCATCTGGCTGGTTCAGGTATGAAAAGCAGTGATAATTTGATATTTTGAGAACCCTAAAAAATTATTTTTACTCAAATAGTATGTACTAGCCAGTGACACTTCGTGTACTTGTGTCTTGTTTCTCACACATAACTTAGTTCTCTTAGGGAGGCTCTAGTATCTTTAAAAGGTTTTGGAGACTGAGGAAAATGAAAATTGACTAGTGGGAAAGAGAAAGTTGGGGGATGGGAGTCAACTTTTTGTTTAGAATCCCCAGAAGCAAATCTATTTTAATTATTGGACCTTTGTTGAATTGAGAAATACACATATATATCCCTTTTATTTAGTGATTTGCACTGTTTCTCTCAGTTTTTGTTATCTCCAGTTTTTAATTCAGTGGCCTGAATAATTTTTATATGTAAGTAAGAACCCTAAAGTAAAAGTAAAGGAATCATTTATTAGGGAAATAGCCAACTTTGTGACTATAGAGAAGCTGTTGCGGAAAATGGTGGGGGTGCTTATTACATAGCTCATGATGATGAGATTATAATTTTTAACCCTCGTTTTTATGATAGCAAAACTGTGAGACTTAATTAGCATATTAGAATTTTAGAGCTTTGAAGGACCTTAAAAATATTTTATACTTTCCAAGATGTAATTTATGGCAAGTGGGCACGCATTATCGTTTACATATTTTCATTTAAATTAGAAAAATTATATTAACATGTAAATTTCATAAATTTTGCTTAGGAAGGACTAAAGTTATTTACATTTTAAAACTGTACATTCACTTAAAGTGACATATCAAGTAAATTAACAGCATGAATGTGGCTAAAATTATTAATGTAGTCTGTGAATGGCTGAAGCTTGGAAATTGTATCAGACTAACCTTTTCTGAGACTCTGAGAGGTGAACTAGCTTGCCCAAGGTCATGGAACTAGTTGGTAATATTGAACCAGGGTGAAACCCAGATCTTCTGATTTCTTGTCCGGTACTCTTGTCATTTCACCCTGGAGTAGGCAAAGTTTGATTCAGGGCATGAAAATTAAAATAGTTTCTTCATGTTTCTTTCTGAGAGTAAAGACTGCAAATATGGTAGGAAAAGCTTTGAGTTCAGAGACCTTAGTTGCAGGTCTGGTACTGTCACTGACTAGCAGTATGATTGTGAATAGGTACGTTTTTCTGTTGTACGTGACCTCAAATAAATACATATACATCTAAAAAGGATAAAATATTACAGTAGTCCTCTGTGCTAAAGAGTTGAGGTTTGGGAATTCTTCCAGAGATGACATTGTTTATCCATAGCCTTTCTTTATTGTAACCTTCCTATTGCATTTGTCCTTTTACCTTCCAGATAATCTAATTCAGTAATTTTAAGTTCAGCAATGGGAGAGAATGCGAGGGTATAGGTGTAGTCCATACATTATCTGTTTAAATTTTAATTTATTTCTGTGTTAATTGGAGTTGAAAAATAAGCTGTAGCTTTTTTAAAGCTTTAATTTATAAGTATATTGTTATTCCATTTCCTTTCTCTGGTACTTATTTCTAATAGTCTGATTGAGAAAGACACTGGTTTTGATAATTTTAGATTTTATTACTGAAGATGAGTTGAATAGCCAGTCCCACTGCCCTGCGTTCAGTGTCTAAATGTTTGTCATTCACATTGACTGATCCCATGGAAATAAATAGTGAAGATGTTGCACCCTTGAAACATGGAAGGCCATGTCAAAAGTCTTGAGTTCTTTTGCTATATAGGCTGCTGCCTATAGACAACAAATACATTCTGGTTCAATAGTTAGCAGTATATTCTTGGCTTATAAATGATCTACTGTTTTTGATGTCCTGTTAAAGATATTTATGAATTAAGCTCCTGTAATAAATATGTGACAGAATTCATCAAAAGTTTATTTAGCAGTTGTGGGTGTGCCAGGCCCTGTTCTGGGCCCTAAAGATATACCAGAAACACATACCAAGCTATGTCCTTGCTCTGTCAGGTAGCTCACATTCTAGTTGGGAGAGGCAGACACCAAATAAATATTTAATATAACATCAGTTAGTGGAAAGTACTAAGAATAAAAATAAGCAGATTAAGGAGAGGAGAGTGGCAAGGAATTCTCTGGTAAGGTGGCAAATGAAGTGAAGAACAAATAATGATAGTAAATGGTAGCATTGTAAATTCTAGTTGCTAAATTTTTTTTCTCTGAAAATATTTTTAAACCTCATAGGTATTAATAGCTGAAAAACAACTCTTAAAAAATAGGATGTATTTCTATGGTTTTCTGTATATGGAAATGATGCAGTAGGACACCTACTTAATTTTTCCAATGATGCTCAAGGTTTGCACTGACCACCACTGTCTGGCTTGTGTTCCTTGAGGCCAGTGGCTTACATCTGTCAAATGGCTGGCCTGGTCTGAAAGAACAATCTCTGTCAGGACAACTGAGAAGAATGAGATTGAAACCTTGTCCGTGGCACTGTGAACTAGCCAGCTAAGCCAATCAGCACAGCCACCTTGGTTTAAGCCCTTAAAAGAGGGTTGTATTTTTTTTAAAACTATGCTTAAAATTGAAAATATCTACTAGAAACAGAAGAGAAATGTCGTCTCCATTGCTTGCCATTCTTTCAGCTCAGATCATATATATTAATCTATTGTAAAGGATAACTTTCAAGAATTCAGTTTTTAACAATTTGAATTGTTGTTATTTTCTGTTTACGGTAGTCCCTCCTTATCTGAGGGGGATACATTCCAAGACCCCCAGTGGATGCCTGAAACTATGGATAGTACCAATCCTATATAATCTATGTTTTTTCCTATACATACATACCTGTGATAAAGTTTAATGTATAAGTTAGGCACAGTAACAACAACTAATGATAAAAATAGAACAATTATAACAATATACTGAAATAACATTTATGTAAATGTGGTGTCTCTCTCTCCGAATATCTAATTGTATGTAGCATTTTCGGACTGCAGTTGACTGCAGAAAGTGAAACTGAGGATAAGGGGAGGCCACTGTATTTTAGAAGAAGCTGACTAATTTGTTCTCTGTCATTTGTTTTAAGTCTATGAGGAGTGTTTTCATAGATGAAGATGCACAGATGCCAGCCAGTTCAATCCTCTTCACATTTTCAAGCTTTTCCAGGTCCATTTTACAATATAGTCTCTGTAACGTGAACAGAATTAATTTTAGTTTTCAAGGTAGCAACGTATGTATGACATCTTTACCAATGACACACTATGATATACATGAAGAACCAAGTGCTCTTTTTTCTAAGTTATTTCTAACATTGTTTTTCCCCTTTGTTCCTAACCCAAGCTCATATCTTTCATTAGCTATTCATTTAACAGTTTTGTGGATTATTTGGCCCCAGTCTTCATAGCATTACAAACAGAAGATGGTTACTTATCTTTCAAAAGACCCTTAGTCAGAGAGGCAGATGGCACATTGGATAGGCTTCTGAGGTGGAGAAATTAGCATAATTTATGGGTTTTATGGATTTATCCTCTTCTTAACATTTCTATTTCTCTGTTTTGACTTTTGTTATAGTTCAAAGAAGGACATTTTTGTTGCCTACTGGCTGTGTTACATCATACAGAATTTAAAGTCACTGGAATTGTAACAGTGAGAAGCATCGTATGATTTAAAATAAAGCTTTGGGTCAATATTTACTGAAGTATTACATCAATATATGTCCTGTTTGGCTTACAAGAATTAATAGCTGATTTTAAACTTGTTTATCTTTGCTCCTAGACAATAGTTTTGTTCGAGGAGATTCTAAATTACGTATTTCTTTCTTGACACTACTATAGAGGTGAAACATAGCAAGCCACTTTATCTTATATTTTGTAGTGGTAAAAAAATTTATAAATTCATAAAGTAAGAATACAAAAAGTTAAAAGACCACTGTTTTATTTTTGTCAATCACTTGTCCTTACTCTTTTTTTTTTTTTTTTTTTTGAGACGGAGTCTCGCTCTGTCGCCCAGCCTGGAGTGCAGTGGCCGGATCTCGGCTCACTGCAAGCTCCGCCTCCCGGGTTTACGCCATTCTCCTGCCTCAGCCTCCCGAGTAGCTGGGACTACAGACGCTCGCCACCTCGCCCGGCTATTTTTTTGTATTTTTTTTACTAGAGACGGGGTTTCACCGGGTTAGCCAGGATGGTCTCGATCTCCTGACCTCGTGATCCGCCCGTCTCGGCCTCCCAAAGTGCTGGGATTACAGGCTTGAGCCACCGCGCCCGGCCAACTCTTAATGATTTTATATAGTTTGCGTGTATATACTAGGTTGCCTTATGATTTTGAAAGTAGAGACTCCCTATTATAATGAAATACTGAGAATGCAGAAAATATCCTAGCACAATGCTCTTATTGCTCCAGGGAGTTATGTTACTTAACTAAACCTGGATGTTATTGTATGGAGATTAACAATATTAAAAGGGGTATGCCACATGGTTTGATCAGTGATAAACCTCACCTCTAAATAATGGGCATTTTAAAATGCACTGAATTAGACATCTTTATGTCTGACTGAGATCAAGAACATTAATATGCAGTTGCTTAGCAGAGTACTATTTATCCAGAAAACATCTTGGTACAGGTTGCTGGGGAAGGGACTTTGATTATAACAGAACTCAGAAGCTTAAGAGTCTTTCCTTTAGAGACTCTGTGTAATCAGAACTAGAAGAATGAGTTATTAAACTGTAAGAAGCTGAAATTGTTTGGTTTGACATAAATAGTTATTGAGCACCCATATGAGCTGGGCACTATATTAGCTGCAGGGACCACAGTGGTGAGCAAGTGTGGGGATGCCAGAGGCAGATATCCTGGGAAAGGGAATGGAAAGATTGCTTCACTTCTAGCCTGTGTTGCCAGGTCTGTTCCAGACCTGGAACTCAAGCTGTACTTTCTCCAGTTTTTTTCTAGTCTTTGAAAATGTTCCCCACATACAGTGTTCCTTCCTGAGCTGCTGAGGAAAATGTCTCTCCTTTTAATGAGACCAGCCATATGAATGCTACTCAGAATCATCATGCATCCTTCTAGGATATGAGCTATAAATTGGGGACTCTTACTAGTATGACATAGTGTGTGTGTTTGTGTGTGTGTGTATGTGTATATATATATAAAATACATAACATATAAGGCATATATATATATATTAGGCTGAGAATATTTGTTGTGCTCTGTGACTCAGCTATATTAGTTATTTTGTGAAAATATTAGCATTTTTATAGTGGTTGGTTAATTTAAACTCCACCAGATTTAATTTATGCTAAACCTTCAGTTGAATTATATAACTATATAGGACATTGAACAAATTTTTAATTGCATAAATATAGCTGTAAAGTAATATAAAATGCTTTCATGCAATGCCTACAAGATTTTTCATTTTTGTGTAGCTCAGTCAGGGATCCTTAGACCCTTCAAAAACAAATGCTAGAACAGGTTGCTGAATAAATAAGGCCCTGGCATTGAACATTGTCTTGTACCTGCCCCAGGTACAAGTATGTTCTCAACTCTTTTCACTCACTCCTGCTATCTCTGCTGGAACCAGGACGTACCTGGGAAGAACCCCTCTCATTCCTCCTTCTTTTCCTAACATTGGAGCTCTTATCACATGTCTCAAAGATACCTGTGCAGTGAACAGGGTCTTCACTGAAAGCTGCCTCCAGACTTAGGAACTAAATATTTACACTGGCGAGGCAACCTCTAAACTCCTTGGAGCAGTGTCATTCTGCACACAGACCTGAAATGTTTGGGTTATTTGCAACCTTGATCAAGAAATAGGATAATGCCTGAAAAGTGAGTTATTTTTGAAAGACAGCAAAGAGTAAAGAGTATGGTAGTATGCTTGCACACATACTTCTTAATCTTCCTAAGGAATCTGAAAAATAAGTTAAACGTGTCTTTGATTAGTTGACTAAAAGAACTACCAGATTGACTCTTGAGTGGTAGCAATAAAAATAAAAAAAAAAAAGAGAAGAGGCAGCAGCAGTCTGCTTTGTTTGATCTTCCTGATTTTCTAGGTACAACCTTTTTTTCTTTCTTTTTTTTATTTTTTTTTATTTTTGAGATGGAGTCTTGCTCTGTTACCCAGGCTGGAGTACAGTGGCACAATCTCGGCTCACTGCAACCTCTGCTTCCCGGGTTCAAGCGATTCTCCTGCCTCAACCTCCCAAGTAGCTGGGATTACAGGTGTGCGCCACCACGCCCAGCTAATTTTTGTTTTTTTAATAGAGGTGGGGTTTTGCCATGTTGGCCAGTCTGGTCTTGAACTCCTGACCTCAAATGATCCACCCACCTCGGCCTCCAAAAGTGCTGGGATTAAAGGCGTGAGCCACCGCATCCGGCCTCCTAGGTAAAACTTATAAAGTACTTTGGGGCCAGAGAAAAATGTAAAAGCTAGGGACTTACTGGGTAGGGTAACTGGTATAAGCATCCTTCAAAAGAGCTTTCACCTATTAAGTCCATGTCCCCAGATTGCCTTCTTCCTGGTTACTTCAACTGTCTTGAGTATTTGAATAAATTGTATCTGCCTCAATAAGACCACTTATTTTCATTAAAAAGTAGTATCAAAACCATGGTTGGGTGCAGAGGTTCATGCCTAGAATTCCAACACTTGGGAGGCCAAGGCAGGAGGATCACTTGAGGCCAGGTATTTGAGGCTGCAGTGAGCCATGATTGAGCGACTGCACTTCAGCCTGGGGAACAGAGTGACACCCTGTCCCTTAAAAAAAAAAAAAGTAATATCGAAACCATTTGCTTAATGCCCTAAATTGTGTATATGTATTCATTAAGCTTCAGACTTATGTGATAAAGTGTTATGTATGCATGTGTGTCTTGGTAAGTATGAGGATGGTAGTGGAATGTCACAGGGGTTATTTGGCACTTCAAGTCACTTGTCATCACCATGTGCTGTCTCTTCTGCTGCCCTCTGACATTTGTTAGACGTTCTAGCAGAGAGGCCACAGATGAGGTGGCTGTACCACCTCTTGTATCTCCCAAGGAGTTGACTGTCAGCACTCATTTTACATACCTACCTGCAACTTCACTTCCTGGAGGCTTTGTGAGTGTGAAAATGGTCCTTCCTCCCAGAAAGATTAGAGGTCCCCAGAGTATTATGTTGTAATTTTGAATTGTATAGTATCAGTAATATAACATTTATGAAAATAAACTTGGCCTATATACCCTGGACTTAAACAGATGGTTTCATGATGACTTTAGACATTTTTGGCTTTCCTTTAACTTCCCATTTAGTTATTTTTTATGGTCTTGTTTTTAATGTTTTTTGGTTTTTACTGGTATCTGCTTTGAAATTCTGCCTTCATTAAAGGCAGGAAGATTAGGAGATAAAGGGAAAGGTATTAATGATTAGAAAGGCTGACATTTATAAGAGAAGTCTTAACATATTTTGAAGGTCTTGCTCTGTCACCCAGGCTGGATTGCAGTGGCACGATCTCTACTCACTGCAACCTCCACCTTGCAGGTTCAAGTGATTCTCATGCCTCAGCCTTCTGAGCAGCTGGGACTACAGGTGCCTACCACCACGCCTGGCTAATTTTTGTATTTCTAGTAGAGACAGGGTTTTGCCATGTTGGCCAGGCTAGTCTTGAACTCCTGGACTCAAGTGATGCACCTGCCTCGGCCTCCCAACATGGGATTACAGGCGTGAACCACCACACCTGGCCTCTTTTTCTTAAGATTCTTTTTCTTTTCCTAATCCTAATTGTGTTTGAAAGCTCTTGCAAATTTGAAGTACAAGTTCAATAATGTAAAATTCATTATGGTAATTATTTTTGTATGTTAGAGCCATTCATGATTGTTAAGCAAAAAGCCATAGAAGTAGTAGTATTTATTGATTTAGTCAAAACGTCCTTTAATAGAAAACATGTGTTTGACTCTTGGCTCCATAATTATACTTTTTAAACAGTGAAATTTGAACTTGTTGAACCTACATGTGATAATTTTTAGTAAGCTTTATTTGGATTATTGTTTAAAATTTTCTTTTCAGAGCAAAGAGAAATTATTCCAAGGGCCATTTTCTTTCTGTGTAACTTAATTAGAGAGAAGAGGCCACATGGTGGAGAACATGGCTAGCTTTTTAATACAGTTTTGACTCCCTACCTCTCTTTGTAAGTGCCACAGAGTGTGGGAGAGTTTAATTTACT